TTGCTTATGTAATCAAGGAAGACATGAAACTTACAGAAATAGCCAAGATTTTTTGATGATGGAGTGAGGATTCAAAAATATCTCAATAGGCTGAAATGGGAGTTGAAAATAACATTAAATTTGCCCAGGCATGGTGGCTCACGCCTGTAATACCAACACTTCGGGAGGCTGAGGCAGGTGGATCACCTGAGATCAGGAGTTAAAGACCAGCGTGGCCAACATGGTGAAGCCCTGTCTCTACTAAAACTACAAAAATTAGCAAGACATGGTGGTGGGCACCTGTAATCCCACCTACTCGGGAGGCTGAGGCAGGAGAACTGTGTGAACCTGGGAGGCAGAGGCTGTGGTGTGCTGTGATCGTGCTACTGCACTTCAGCCTGGGTGACAGAGCAAGACTGTCTCAGAAACAAATAAACATACAATCATTAAATTTAATGGGTAAATGTGAGAGCCTGAATTTATGTTTTACAAAAATCATCACAAATACAGCATAGAAGAGATAATACTAATTTCAATCAGTGTTTCTTCTTCTATAGCCAATCGGTGGCCAATTCTTATCAATTTTGCCTCTTTAGTATCTCTTAATCTGTCCTCTCCATTTTCCTTGCCTGTCCTCTAATTCAAGCACTTAATGTCTCTCTCCCTTCTATTTCTATACTCTTGCTTTTCAAATCCATCCTATACAAAACTCGGAAAACTTTCCCTACGGCACAGGTCTCCACGTGGCACTCCGTGCTTACACACCCTCAGCGGCTCCTCGCTACCTAATTGAAAAAGGGAAAGTTCCTTGAGTCTGACAGTCGTGATCCTCCAGTCTGACCCAGACCTTCCTTTCCACATCCCAGACATTTATCACTTGTTCTTGCTCTGGCTCCCTCCTTCCCTTCCACAAGCCTCTGTCTAAATCCTCCTCATTCTCCACCAAGCCTAATTCATATCCTTCACCAAGGCTTCCCTGTCCTTCTTTGTAATTTCTTCCTCCTGCAGCAAGGTATTTTTACCTATCTTGCCATATTTTCTGTCATGAGTTAATGCTGCGGACATACACTTTCTATTTCTTTGTCCCATATTTCCCTTTCTATCCTTCACCAAGAATATGAGCACATGAAAGGTAGAATTCTGACCGATTAATTTCTTTATCCCCACACACCCACACAGCATCTTGGTAAATGCTCAGTAAATATCAGACAAACACAATGACAGGACACACTAAGTAGCACTGTGTCCAGCACTGGGTCCTAAACAAGGAAAGCGATGGTGCTGCTCAACACCCAGAGTGCATCTGGGCACTTGGGGAGGCCAAGGTGGGAGGATCACTTGAGGCCAGGAATTCGAATTCGAGACCAGCTTGGAGAACACTGCAAAACTCTATCTCTACTGAAAA